AGCTGTTTTTTTATGTGGACAATCAACACCAGTGTGATTACTTTCTGGGCATTTTTCTTGATGGAAAAGTTGAATTGGTTTCCTTTTTCTTGTAACTACCCTGCTTGTACCAATGCATCTCTGCAGATGTGCTCTGAATGCAAGGTTTATAACATCCAGATGAAAAATAACCAACCAGCTTCCTGAACCAGTCCACAGTGCCAGCAATCCCTAAATTATCACAGTGCAATTTGGAAGGATGATTTAGGAACTGGTATGAGCAGCTGGACATGAAGGTTGCTGTAGCTGACCCTGCTGCTGTGGAAAACAGCCCTATACTGCTCCACAGAGTAAGAGGGGTCACTCTTGTTAATCAGTGCAGCCTTGAAGAAAACTTTTGCCAATGTGGAGTTCCACAAAGTCTAGAGGTACATCAAGTGTTCAAAAATGTTTTGCTTCACTCAGAGTGGAACTGCATCCTAATGGAGGTGATGCAAGGTATAATGCTGTGTATGAAGCAACCATGCATTCTGAATTTGATCTGTGCAGACTTGAGACATCAGTCTTACTTCCGTGTCTCAGACCTTGAAAAGAGAGGGTTTTTAAGGCCATAGTGCTGCCCTGCCCAGCAGAAGAGGCTAAGACTGAAGAGCCTGAAGAGACTTTCCAAAAGTCACCAAGGGCTTAATTACAAGTAGGGCTACATTCTGAATATGCAAAACTTGAGTCTAAATCCCTTGAAGGATGTTTAGGGCATGAAGATGTGTACAGGGTAGAGTCCTGCCCAGTGTTATCAGATCCAGCAATCCCTTTGCCTCTGTAGGACACGTCTGTGTGCCAGCACACGTCTTGCAGGTCCAGATAAATGTGTCAGGGCTCATAAATGCTGTTGAACCAATGCAGAAGTGCCTGTACCCACTTCAGGCTCACTGCAGACAGAAGCACCTGCCTGTCTTTACCTGTCCATGTGTATGTATCCCATGTGTGAGTGTGAACTGATTCCCAAACCTTGGTGATCAATTGCTTGTATGAGACAAAAGTTTACCCTCTGCCTTTGTTGATTGGAGCTTGAAAGGGAGGAGAACTCTGATCTCTTGGGGACAGTGACCTCATTAGGTTTTTTCTGCCTCCTCCCTTTTGGTGGTAAATATTTGGGTTTCAAAACAAAGCTATAGCTGTTGAATAGCCTAAAACTTTTTATTTCTTTGTGTCTGCTGCCTTCTTGGCTATGAGATGATTGATCCACTCAGTAAAATATGTCACTTGGAAGCAAATTAGGAGATAGGAGACAAACAAAGGAGTTATATTTACTGAAGTAGGTTCTGAAGTAGATGATCAAAGTCCTAGATGTAGCTAGAAGCTGCTGTCTTTCAGTGAGCAGCTGATTGACTTCTATCTGAGCGGCAGCAGCAGTTGGTTAAACTCTTCTCAAACAGCATTAGCAGAATAAGATTCAGGAATATAGGTATTCTATGATTCAACTCTGAAGCTAACATTAAATTTCTGCTACAGTTTCCCCTTAACCCAGTTTGTACACCAGTTCTGGAGTGCACCATATCTCTAAAAATGTATGGATAACAAAAAAGTTGTGTCTACAGTGACAGTGGGCATGGCAGTGGGTTGAGAGATGAAACCATTGGGTATCAGTGCTAGTCTACATCAGAAACCAAAGTAATGGATTGGTTGTTAAACTTGATTCATTCAAGTCACTAGACCTCTATCCTTGTGAAGGAGAATTGTCTAAAGGCTGTGGAAAATAAGTTAACTGTGACACAGCCTCTTTGGTCTGATATGTGATACTCCAAGGTGATCCCATAAAGCATTGAATTTACTGCATGGCTTTGAGAAGGCTTTGAATCAAGGCCTTCAGAAACAAGAAAAAGGTTCAAAAAGCCTCCGTGTTTTACTTGGGCCCAATTAAGCTGCTTCCATGTATTGTTTTCCTATTGCAGCTGGGAAAATATTTCTATGTAAAAAGAAATGTTTTGTCCAACCTTCCTGCCCTCCTATACAATTTTGCAGCACAAAGCCCAGCATTGTAAGTATGTTTGCAGAGGTAAGTGATAACTTCACAAACACAGACTCGAAGTATTGCTGCAAAAATCAAATAAGATTGTACATTAAAAGTGAGAGATACAATGCAGAAGGTGGTTCAGGCTTGGTTTCGTAGAAGGAGTTGGTCTGGCTACAGAGTTTTGCCAGAGCATCTTGTCTCTGAAGGGACACTTCTTAGAGGAGGCTGGCAGGGCTGGTTCCCAGACTCTCTGAAGATTAACTGGATGTCTTTGGCAGATGTCTGCTTCTCAAAGTTCTTGTTCTTATAACGTGGGATCTCTGTGTGTAGTTTCTGCTGGAACTGTAGGCTGTGTGAAGTGGCTGGGATAGGCTCTGCAAGGTGAGACACAACCATACCTCCTGTCAGAGCAGGGATCATAATGTTGAATGCCCTCCTTGGCCTTTGGGTCTGTTCTCATGCTCTTGTAGGCATCTGTGCCGTGCAGACCCTCTGCAGTGTGCTCACAATTCACTGGCTATATTGCTTCAACTACAGCTGCTGAAAGGCCTTCCCAGAGACTTCCTTTAGCAGTCAAACTGTTTAATATTGAGCAGAACCTGTTCACAATTAAACTGTCTCTTGTTCTTGCTGATGTGGCTTCTCCAAGGTTTGTTCCTACTTGACATGCATATAAAATATATCTTTGTGGTCCCCTGGTTTTGCTAGAAGACTTCTCCAAGCTGTTTTGGTCACACCACCTGAGACAGGAGCTGTGGTATGGAGCCTGTTCCAGCCAGAACACTGTCATGCCAGGAACTTGAAACAGTGTTTTGGGGTGATAAAAACTGATTTTGCACTGTCATTGCTTTGCCACAGGGGTTTTCCCATTACAGATCAAGTCCCTAAGCTTAAACATTCTGTGGAAAAAAGGGCTCTGATTACACTGACAGCATCTTGGATTGTAACACCCTCTTCTTTTCTGGCCACCTGAGCACTGTATGCTGTGGTTTCATCTGCTTTTACTTATAGAGGCATCAATCAGTGTGAAACTGCATTTTTAGTATAAATGTGTAAATAATATAGGTAGAATACCATGCACTATTGTGTGGGGGTTTTGTAATACAAAGATTGGTTTTTTATGCACAACCCCCTCATGCTTCTAGTTTTTGTGTCTTTGCTGCAGGGTGGAAGTTGAGGGGGTGCTGCATGCTGTGACAGTTGGGCAGGGAACACATGTGGGATGAGATTGGCACTCATGGGGAGCTGGGAAGCACTGTGGCACTTGCATATTTGCCAGATTTCTGGGAAAAAATATCATTAGTTAAGCAATACTGATATTTAAGCATTCCTCTTCATTTCATAGCCCTACTGAATAGGAATGGTTTAGATAGGGCCTCTGTGTCAAGCTGTCAGCTGCTGGAGGAAACTAAGGCATAATTTTTAATGTTTTTTCGGCCATCAAGGTGGCAAAGGCAAAAATATGATTTTCTAAGACACTATCAGGTGCACTCTGCAGAGAATAGGTGGGTTAAGGGTAGGCAGTAGCACAGAATCTCTGGAGTCTTGATTACAGCTTCTGTGGGACAGACCTTTGTCTATATTTAAATTTTAGTAAGGCTAGTGGCTAAAAAGAAATTTCTGACAGAATTTTGGAGCAAACACAACTGGTGCTGGGGGTGCACAGTCACTCTTGCCATCTTACCCTGATCACACTGAGCTGAGCTGGGGTCCCAGCTGATATCACTGCATGCATTTATCTCTCCTTAACCCTACTCCTTTCCCTGAAAAAGCCAGCTCAGAAAAAAAAAGATCTGTTGCTGAAGGATATGAGGTACTTCAGCCCTTTTCCAAGACATCAAAGCAGGCTCCAGCAATCCAGTTAATGGCAGCCAACATGCTTTGTGTTAATCTGTGCTTGAGCTGTGTGCTGGATGCTGGCCAGGATGTTCAATCTGTCACATAATAAGAGTTTTTGTCATGCTGTTCATTTATTCCTTTTTATCCCTCAATTTGGAGACCAGCATTGGTACATGTTGTACTGGAGGGATTTATGTGCTCAATGCCTTGGAGAGGTGTACTTGTTTGTCTTTTCTTGAAGGCAACAAGATGACAACTGACCTCCTTTCAGAAAGATTGTGTCTCAAATGTACCAAATACCCAGCTGCTAATATACAAACTACTATAGGGGAGAATTTTTGTTTGGTCTGATAGAATTTCTTGGCTGCAGGAAACTTCTATTATTAAAACTTCTTTTGTTTCAAATCTTAACACAGAAAGCCAACATTTGTATGTGGTTTATTGAGATGAAATGGTATAATACATGCACATGGAAGAAAGCTGAACATTGTGGCATCAGTATGATAATGTTGCAACAAGAAGTTGATGTTGAAATTAATTTGTAAATATATTTGAACTCATTAAAATGTTTTTCATAATATATTGAGATAAAGTGGGCAAGTTCCTGCAATACACTTCACTCTGGATAAACTACTTCCTATCAACAAAGCCACTTCATTTTTTTTAACCAAACTACTTGTAGTTCGGGGAGAGTTGCAAGCACTGCCTTAGCCCTGAGCTGTGGCTCTCTATGTTAATCATAAAATCATCACAGAATTACAGATTGGTTTGGGTTGAAAGGGACCTTACAGATCATCTATTTCCAACCCCCTGCATGGGCAGGGACATGATGGAGGTGATTGAATTGGTAGGATTAACCCATGGCTGAATATGACAGTGAATAATTCCCCTGCTTGGCTACAGTATGAAAATGAAAAGCCAACATCAACTCTGCAAAAGCTGCTCTGGAAATCCAGCAGGAATTATTCCTGTTTCAGCAGTGCATTCATCACTGCACGTGTGGTACCCTGGTCCCGAAATGATGCTCCCGCCCTCACCATGGAGTCCTTGAACGAAGCCCAGCGAAGAACAACAGAGAGCCTCCTTAAGAGAGAAGAAAGGGGAGGAGAAAGCGTCTCTCTTTGGGTATAGCAACCCCACCTCCCGGTTATTTCATCTTCCTTACAAGGCTAAAGCCAGAAGCTTTCCTCTGCGCCTGGGTCCTTTAAAAGCAGGAGAGCAAACCCCAAGGATCCCGGTGGAGCGCAGCCGGCGTGTGAGGCTGACAGAGACGGGGAAGGAAGCACAGCAGAGCAGGCTGGTGCTCTCCAGAGAAGTGTGACTGTTACCTATGAATCCTAAACCATGTGTCCAGTGATGCAGATCTTCTAAAGAAACATGAAACCAAACCCAAAAAGAAATCACTGAGGGGGAAAAAGTGCAACATGAGAGGTAAATATATTTTTCCTTGGGCAAACTGAAATAACTGGCTGTATTTTGTTTGAAAATCGTCATTGTAAGGTGTCTGAAAGTGCAGGCTGAAAAATGCAGTTATTAACATCTGAATAGACTGGTCTGACTCTGAGTTCAAATGCAGCACTGGGTTAAAAACTCAAATCAGCAGATGAATTCAGGTGCCTCTGAAGAAATTTTGACATTTCCCTTTAGGTATTCACAACTTCAACTTTTCCAAAAATCTACTTTTCTATTTTGCTTTCTCTGCTATTGCTAGATGTTTTCAAGTGGTAATATGCACATTGCTTTGGGGAAAAAGCGTGGCACAACCAAAACCTGAGAATATGTCTCAGAAAACCGTCACCATCAAGATATTTCAAATGCTTCCATGCCCTTGTTCTTATAATAGTGTAATTTCTTCAGAAAGATGAAGCTGAGCTGGAATGTCTGTTGACATCTGGTTGAGGTTACTGTAACTTGTATACTTGTATTTGGGGTTCTTTTTTTTTTTTTTTTTCCAGTTTAATTGAAACAAGCTGAGATCGTCTGCACATTCTATGAAGTGTTTCCATACTCTGGCTGTCTAGTCTCTCTGACGGGTAATTTTAGAGCTGCCACATCTGAATGGGAAAAGAGGGAACACCTTGAGAGTTCCAAACAGCAGCCCTTCTGTGGACCATGCTGCCAGGGATAGTCAGTGGCTGAAAGATGCAAGACTTTGCCCCCTGTCTGTAAGATGGATTGAGACAAATATTTTGCAAATGTGATACGACTGACTTCAGCATAAGTGTATTTTTGAGCTTCTGATTTACATCTTTGCAATGCTAGGGGACTTATAGATGCTTTTATTTACCAGAAAAAACGAAAAACTGGGCTGTGGAGAAGAGCTGCTGGGAGCTGTGACAGACCTCGAGGGCAGAGGATTACTAGGCAACTCCTGCAGATTCTCATCGAAGACTTTGGCTCAGCCCTGAAGTCAGCACATGCAGAGCTGTGGGTTCAGCAGCTGAAGATGGAGGTGCTGCGTCGTTCCTCAGTCTTTGCTGCAGAGGTGATGGAGGTTTTTGACAGGTCTCCCACTGACAAAGAGCTTGTGTCCCAAGCCAAGGCTCTCTGCAGAGACTACATAAACTCGAGGCTGATTCAGGCGGGTGTCAGCTGGAGCAAACCCGAGTACAATGCCCCAGTGCCTGGGGGTAAGCTGGCCGAGGTGTCCACCATACTGCTACGACTTGGTGAGTCCTGCTGGGATGGGGGGAGCTCACATTGTGTGGAGCGGTTCAGACCAGACTAAGGCTTCTGGAAGAGGCTTTTCATATGATGATACAGAGGTTTTTCTTTGCTTTTGGCATTTAGTTTTGTTTTTTTGTGATTTTCCCTAAACTCCTCCTTTGCTTGAGTTTCCTCAGTCTTTTGGAATACTGCTCAGCACAGGGTTTCTGCAAACTTGCCTTTTATTGAGGACTTACAACAGCTCAAAATCACAAAGCAGCCTAAGAAAGCCCAGCAGTAACTGATTCTGTGTGCACAGGTCTCCAGCTGTGTAACAATTCTCACAGTTCTTAGAGCAGTCTTTCTCAGCTGGGCATTTTAACCAGTCTTGCAGTGTTTTCTCCTGAGTGAGTGACTTGATTGCCACAATGCATCTGGCATCTTCTAGGGCACTGCTACCACTGGACTTGGGCTTCAGCAGTAGCTCACCCAGCTTTAATTTGGAGTAGCTGCTTAGAAAATGTGTTGCTGGAGATTTTATAAAAACTGCTTTTTAATGACAGTATGTTTCATTTTCCTTTGTCTACCTTAGTCATTCAGCAAGACCCGAGTTTTCTTGCTTTTTACTGGAGCAAGAAGGAGTTGGTTGATGTTGTGTGGCATACACTGCCAGTCAGTGCCACCCACAGCACAGCAACTATGGGGGCTTCAGGGAGAGCAGTTTGAAGGTCCTGCCTGGAGGCTGTGACATGAAGATATGCTTCAGAGCTTGTACCAGGAGCACCCTCTAAATGTTTTGTTTGGGGTTGTGTAGCATCCTGTGTGCTCAAGTCTAGCTGTTTGTCATTTGGGAACCCAACAACTTTATTCTTGGAAGTTGCTTCCAACATCCCTCTTTGCCTGCAGGGTGGTATATTCGTTCACATCTGGTTGGAAACTACCACCAGCATTTGCATCTGATTTAATTACATCAGAGTTCAAACAGGTCTGGTGAAGTAAGCATTAGCTGGGCCTAACAAAGTCAGGACCAGGGTTGGTGTCCCCACTTTCACCCCTGTATACTAGTTTGATATTATCCCAAGTTTCTTTTTAAGACATAGCTGTGTTTCTTTTAATTGATTTTTAAAAAAATAATAATTTTTTATTACTTTTCTATGCTGATTTTACTTCTGCTTTTGTTTCCAGTGGTTGTTTGGTCTTTGGGGGATTTTTTTTTTGTTCTTCTGTCAATCTCACTGTCTATTTGTACTTCCTTTCTTCTCCGCCTGCGCTGGGGGTTGAGATTTTTGTCTTTTCAACCCAATCTTCTGTGGGTGGTCAGGAACATGTTAAAGGGCAAGCAGGTGGCGCACTGGATCTGAAGGCGTCTCCTGAATTGTCCAGATGGAAAGATTTGGCTTAAAGTCCCAGGAACTTGGTGCCTTCTCTGAGCAAATCTGGAGAGCACCATGTGGTACCCATGCAACCAGAAAGGTGAGCAGTCCTTCTCATTAAGACGAAGAACAGTTTCTGTCCTATTTCTTTAGAAACTCCACTTGTCACATGGCCCATCCCTTTCTTTTCCTCTTTGCTGCTCTAACTAGCACAAGGCCAGCTGCCATCCAGCCACCTGCCAGGAATGGTAATCCTTAGCCACTTCCTAAGCAGTGCAACAAGCAAGACCAGTTTTTTCCTTCATGAATGCTGAGAAGCCTGTGGAAATGGGAAGTTGGAGTATTTCCTAGCCCAGTTGCACACAGAGATTCTGATGAACTGCCTGGTGGGCCAGCAGAAGTCCTGGGCACAGGCAATACTGTTGGAGATCATAAGGGAGGGAGACTCCATCAGCTCAGTAAGGCTTAGCAGCTAATTAGGGCAATTAATGAGTCAGACATGGTAAAACCTAATGGTATAGCCCAGTGAGGCTCCCCAGACCAACCTGCTGTGTCTTCACAGGCCTGGTTTATCTGAACTTGTATCTCCTCTGGCCAAGGCCCAGGGAGGTGCCCTTTGACCACCGCAATGAGCTCCTGCACATGGAAACTGTCACTGCTGCCCTGTTAATTCCTACATAATCACTGGAGGAAGGAGGAGAAGCCCCCAAATTGCTCTAAATGTTGCAAAGTTGGGCATCAGAACAAGGACACTGGAGACCAGCACCAATGGGGTTGCTGGGCTGGGAGGCTCTCCAAGCATGGGAATGCTTTCCTGTGTTTTCCTTCCCTGGATGCTCCTGCCTGCCCTGTGTCTTGCTGCAGAACAGGGCATATGCGCCTCCAACCAAACTCTGATCTCATCTGGGGCCTCCAGGCACTGCTTGTTAGAAGCTGTAGCAGTGGCAGGCTACCAAGTGCTGATCCCAGCCTCCTGTGCCTCCCTCTCAGCTAACCAGGGCTATCCCCATTTCCTTACATTTACCAGGAAGTCTGTGTGCTGCCTGTGAGGAGAGAACGGCTGTTGAGTAGTCCAAGGAAGGTTTCCTCTTATCAGGGCTGACCATGTGTTGGCAGATTTCCTCTTGCTGTCAAACAGGGACAATCCCACACTCAGAAAGGGCCAGGAGAGCTCAGCTGTGGAATTCTGTAGAGCTGGGTTTTGCCTGTGCTGAGTGCCAGATAAATGAATTAAGAATCAGTATCTAATGGCTCTATAACAAGATCCTGATTGCAGTGACATCTTCCTTTTTACCTCTCATAAAAATGAAATTTTGAGGAAGATCAGTTGCCCTCTGGCTGGGCCAAGTCACCTGGGTCTTGCAGTGGGATATAAAGCTCTTGGAATAACTCTTTCCAGAACACCCTTGTGCAGGAGAAGAGCACAGTGTGTCCTAAATCTAAGCCATGCACAAAGGGCCTTGGTGCCGTGCAGTGTTTGCATTGTGTCATGTTCCTACAGCAGCTGTGCAACCTTCATTTAATATCTATGAACATCTACAGAGAGAAATCCCTTGGAAGTTTTATTAATATGGCTTTGTTAATTCTACTACTCAAAAAATGGTTTGTTTTGCTACAAAGGAAAAGCTTTGCTGTTGTTTCCCAAGCTCCATAGCCCAGTAATTTAGGAGGATGTTCTCTGCTTGTCCTTGGTATTTTTGTCTTGGTCTTCTTGGCCTAACACCTCCTGCCATTTCCCAGAAATGGGCAGAAAGCACTCTGGAGGTGAAAGCACATGTCTGTGTGTGTCAGATACCTTGCTTCTGAGCAGTCAGCCATGCAAATGAGCATCTCTAACCGTTTGGAGGAGAGAAAGAACTCCAGATTGACTCTCAAGTGCCTGTCTGAGCATAAAATAGCTGAGAGTCTCTTTGTTTAATTAATGTTGTGCAGCTCTGGGTGGATCCTTGGCTTTCATCAGCCTTCAGCATTCTTGAGTCGCTCTCTTGCACTTTAGCCATTTTTGTACAAGCCTGATGGGGTGCTGAGGAAGGGCGTATCTCTCAAAAGCTTACATGGATGTACATGCCTCCTTCTCACTTGTGAAATAAAATGACAATGCTTTGCTTATCTGAGGCCTGTCTCCTGTGTTGGAGGAAAGGCAGGCAGCAAGCGTGGGAACAGCATTTATGTCAGGGATTACTGCAGCCAAACCACTGGTACAGGACCGCTGCCTGCCTCTGCTCCCTTTGGGAGTCCCAGGGTACAGGTGGTAGGGAGCTGCATCTAAGCAACCCTAAGCACTCTGCTGCCTGCCTAAACTCAGGTGGAGCTGGGGTTCATCCCTGGAGTAACCCCAGCTGTAATTCCTCCGTGATGAGAGCAGGGCTTGGTGCTGTGCATGCTGACTCTTGGCTGTTTATTTGCAGGGGATGAGCTGGAGTACATTCGCCCCAATGTCTACCGGAATATCGCCCGCCAGCTGAACATCTCGCTGCACTCAGAGACTGTGGTGTCAGACGCCTTCCTGGCAGTGGCTGCACAGATCTTCACTGCAGGTACGGTGCTCACAAACAGGGCTGGGTGGAAAGGAACAGGATGGAGCCACCTCTCTTGGAGAAGGCATCTTTCTGGGATAGCGTGCAAGGTGGGGCCTTGCTTGCTGGAAGAGCTGTGGGCAGTTTGGCAATGTGCCCTGCTTTAATGATTTAACGAGAACTCCTCTCTGCTGGCTTCTGGCAGGAAAACTGTCCTGGGTTGTAATATCCTCTCAGTAGGTTCTATCTCATTCTAGAAGGCACCTCCTGCCCTTCCTCATTACAAGGTGGTTATTACCTCATTGCATAGGGAGGTCACTCATTCCAAGCTTCTTTGCTCACCGTTGGCAGCTGCAGAAGATTCATTGCTTGGGAGCCTCCCTTGTTCCAGCTCATGCTGCAGATGCTGGGAGCCAGAATCAACTCATCACAAGAGAGCTCCTCTCCTCCTGGCCTCCTTTCCCACAGCAACACCCAGAATTGCAATGGGACCTGCTGCTTTCTCCTTTCTCATGGTATGGGAGTCTTGGTCCTTAGGGCTGTTCCAAATGAGCAGGTGCTTTGAGATTTCTCCCTGCTTAGATGTGAGTGTTCTGCTGCTGCTGTTAGACTGGTTCCAGAAGTAATGGTCAAAAGCAAAAATATATCCTGTGCTGCATTCAGCTTTTCCTGGAAACAATCCCTGCCCACAACTGGAAAAGCAGCCTGTGGGAATTGAGGGAAGAGAAACCTTTAAGAGGGATTGCAGGTTCTGACACGGTTATGGGTTTTCTGCAATGTCTTGTTGTGTTGTGGAAGGGACAGTAGATGTTAAAGATTGGAAACAAAACCAAAAAAAGGAAAAAAACAACAAAGAAAGAAACTTGCTGGCGGCATAGCAACATGAAACCACTGGAAACAATGACAATAGGATGGGAAGTGTCACAGGATACAGGGACTCTTGTCACTTTGGCAATAGTTGCTACAGGATGGAAGTCCAGGTTTCAGTTGTACTTTCAAATAGGCTACCTCACTCAAAACCTTTTCATCCTCACAATCAACTGTGCTTCTTTATCTGGAACCACTGACACTCTGGAGAAGCCCTGACATGCAGAAGGACTGAAGAGCTGTGGTGGAGAGCACAGATCCTCCCTAGAATCATAACAGATGGCAAAATAGATCTCTGAGAGGGACTGCCCAAGCAGGGCTTCTGGCAGTTTGAGCAGGGCAGATTTTATTCCCTGAGCTAGGGAAATTGATGCTGTGTCATTGGAAATAGATGGAACTGGACTGTGTGGCTGGTACAGCAGCCCTCAACAGCCTTTCAGAGCATGCTGGGTCACAGCTTGCCTTTGCACTGGGCTGGCTTCAGAGGGCCTGTGAGCTCAGAAAGCAAGAGCTGGGAAAGTATGGCAGGAATGTCTCAGTGTGACTGTGTAGAAAGGGAAGGTGCCCTGTCTTGTCACTTAGTGCTGAACTGTACTGGTGTCAAGGCTTACAGAAAAAAACGGTCAGGTTGGCAGGCTCAGATGCAATTCGCATTGCAGGTGAGGAGGGGATCTTAGATGACTACAGGTGACTGCATTGGGATTGGCCCACCTCCAGAGCTGAAGTGACACAGAAAGCGAAGCCAGGAATGCTGCAGGTGGAGCAGAGTGTGTGTGCTGTGATGCTGCATAACCATGATGCTGGGGAGAAAGCCTGCTGCCTCCTGGGAATTCTGCTCTCAGTGTATATTGACAAATTCATGGAGAGCTGCATTTTTTTGTTGTTCTTCAACTTCTCAGCTCAGGAGCCAATTGTGTGTGTAGTTTAAAATTAAAGTAGAAATCATATGCCATAGTTCTAAACCTGGGTTTTCAGGGTATTAGGAATAAAATCTGGACTCAGCCCTCTGAGGCTGACAATGCTGGAGACTTTGGACTCTGTTGACATTGCTGCCCCTCCTCCAGAGCCACCCTGCTGCAGAAATGGCTGGTAGTGTGCTGGTTGCACAGAGGCTGATTCAAACCTTCACAGAGCTCTCCATTCTCTGTTCTTAATTCTTTCTCATCTGTCCTGGGAATTGTGTATTTAATTGCTTTTATCAACTTGTTATTGTAATTTCTCCTAGGTAGAAGGTTGCTGAGTGGCAGAGGGATAGGAGCTTGCTGTTTTTTAACATTCCTGGATCTCACTGCAGTCTCAAAACTCAGCATTTAACAATAAATCCAGCAAATTGGAGTTGGCTATGGCAGCCAGACATTCATTCCTTTTTTTTTTTTTTCATAGTTCAGAGGAAAGAGGCTCTTATTGAGCAAAGGAAACCAGACACTCAAGTTCAATCTGAGTTTTCATGCCAATTACCAAATTTATTAAGAAAACAGCTACAGTCTGACACTACAGTGCGTAGACAGCTTGGGGAGCCCCACTAGTCACTTACAATGCCTTTCCAGCAAGGAAGCAGGGGATTTTGACACTTTTTTTGCTGGAGAGGTTTTCTCCTTAATCTTTTACATGTCTGTCTTCCACATTCTGGTCTGGTTTTGAGTCTTCACACTGTTGCTCTGTCTGTGCTCGCTTCCTGTCCACACTGTCTACAAGTCCTGATTAAGCCCAAAACTGCCCTGAGGAGCCTGTTTCAATGTCTCTTCTTTCAGTGAAGAAATTTTTACTAATACCCAATCTAAACATCCCCTGATGCGATTTGGGGCCATTTCCTCTTGTCCCACGGCTTGTCATCTTGGAGAAGAGACTTTATGCTCAAGCTGTATTTTGTTCCCCTGTTTCCAAACAACTCATTAGTTATCCAGAGTGAGGAGAGCCCATCTGTGTGGAGACAAGCACTGCAGAGCCCTGATCTGCTTTTGATGGTAAAGGATCTGCAACAGCATCATCTCTGTGATGTTACCACTACTTCTCATGTGTGGTCCAAAGCTGCTCTGTGGGTAGCAGAAGACTTTCCCCTGACTTCAGCAAGCTTTGGTTTGGGGCCTGGCTGAGCTGACATTTACCTTAGATTTTAAAACAAATGCCAGAAGGAAGAGGTCAGTTGGTGGAAAAACAGAAGTAGAAAAGGGAGAGGCATTTTCCTTTCCTAAAGGAAGCAGTTCTGTCCTATTGGTAAGAGCTGTTAGGCATGAGGGATTTTTAAAAGCTTCCAGCCTGGTTCTTACTGGGTTTGGCTTTTAATCAAGAGTGCCTGGGCTGAAGTGAACCCTGTGTAACAGGAGTGTAGGGTTAATGCTTTCTGGGGAGAAAGCACTTTCCCTGCAGGAGCAAATGGATGTAGATGACACCAACCTGATTGGTGCTGTTGACACACTTGAAGGATGGGGTGACATCCAGAGGGATCTGGACAAGCTTGAGAAGTGACCCATGAGAATCTCATGAGGTTATGCAAGACCAAGTACTAATGCTGCATCTCCATCAGGGCAACCTCCAGGGTCAGTCCAGGCTGGGGATGAACAGATCAAGAGCAACCATGGGAGAAGGACCTGGGGATGCTGTGGTGAGAGAGGGATATGCCCCAGCCCTGGGTACTGGGACCCAGAAACCACCCATGTACTGGGCTGATCCCCCAGCGTGGGCAGCAGGGGAGGGAGAGATTCTGCCCCTCTGCCCCACTCAGACCTGTCTCCAGCCTGAGGGTCCCAGCACAAGAAGGACATGAAGGTGCTGGAGCGAGTCCTGAGGAGGCACCAAGATGATCAGAGAAGTGATGGAGCAGCTTTGCTGAAAGGAAAGGCTGTGAGAGTTGGGATTAGTTAGCCTGGAGAAGAGAAGCTCCTGGTGACCTAACTGTGGCCTTCAAGTCCCTGAAGGAGCCAACAAGGAAGCTGGAGAGAGACTATTTACAAGGGCCTGGAGAGACAGGACAAGGGGGAATGGCTTCATACTAACAGGGAATAGGTATAGATTAGATATTAGGAAGAAATATTTTCCTAGGAAGGTGAGGCCCTGGCACAGGTTGTCCAGTGAAGCTGTGGCTGCCCCTGTATCCCTGGAAGTGTTCAAAGCCAAGTTGGATGGGGCTTGGAGCAACCTGGGCTAGTGAAAGATGTCCCTGCCTGTCAGAGACAGGAAAAAGTAATCTGTTTTGAGACATCTTAAGATGTTTGGAATGTGTGGTAGAGGGTGGGTCAGACTTTGCTCTGTTGAGATAGTACCCTGGCCCCTGTAGCCCCCAACCCTGCAGTGTCTGTCAGCCATGGCACACTGAAGGGTCAGGGCCCCTAGGATTGCTTGACCCAGTACCTGAGTGTCTGCAAACCCCACCTGGGAAGAAGGCCCAGGATGGGCCAAAGCTTTAAGAAGCTTGACCACAAGGCAAGCACATTGTCCTTCAACCCTACCTTCATTTTTTGGAGTTTTACATCACTGGAACCCAGAAGTTGGTAGCTATATGTCTGTTTTTCTATATCTTTCCTGTTTTTCTGTTTTTCTCCCTTTCTTCTTCTCTTTTCTCATGGAATGTGACATTGAATGGGTTTAAAGGTTTTCTATGTTCAGTGTGGTAAGTCTATGCAATGGTAAGTGATGTTATGTTGCATTTATTCTTTTTCTAATGTTCCTTAATTTTCTGTAGTTTGCCAGCAAACTTTCATGTGTTTTTTACCTCTTGAGAATATCTGGCTGGGATTTTCTCCTTTGCATCTATGCAGAGCAAAAGAGCCTTGGTTTTAACCCCGGAATTAAGTGACTGGGATGTAACACTGCCCATTACAGGGGATTGGAATAAGATGGACTTTCACTTCCCTTCCAACCCAGACCATTCTGGGTTTCTCTGAAATGCTGTTAGAAATGCATCCTACTGCTCCCTCATAACTTAGGCTTTATGACTTGAGCTTCCTGCCTTGTGCACACCCCTTTCAGCTTTTCTCTCTACCAAAGCCTGTTGTGTCTGGCTGCATTCTCCCAGCTGTTGAAGTGTAGCAGTGGATTGTGTTTCTTTAGGGTCTGGTTTGTGAGTGGGACTTTGATGCTGAGTGGAGCAGAAGGAAGTTTATTTGAATAACCTCAGGTAGGTTTATTTGAATAACCCTGAGACTGCACAGTCATGTCTCATGGCTTCTTCATCACTCCCCTGGGGCAGACAAGCTCATATGAGCAGGAACACTTTCAAGAGCATTCCTCTCCTGATAATTCATTTTACCCTGGGCTCAGCAGTGTTTACATACCTTCAGCTCCATGGCTGGCCTAGAGAGTGCAACTTGTATTTCTTATATTTTATAATGTTTTCTAAGCAGCCCTTCACTTTTTCCATATCCTTTTGTTCCATGTCTGTGAGCAGAAGTTTCTCTCTTTTGGCCATTCCTTTTTGGACCAGCTTTCCCTCCCCTGTTGTTGTTAGCTCCTGTGCATGTTAATCCACGCAGTGGGAAGCTGTGAATGGATTGTCTTGCTTGGTGATGAGTGCCTGTTTTACCCAGTGTGGATGACAGCCAGGCCTTTTGAGGAATTTGGAGCAAGGCAATGTGTTTTTGCTTCTCATGTGCACTGGCCAGATTCAATTCCAGCTCATGCTGAGTTGTATCACACTAGTGTCACTTTGAACCTGGCCTGGATATCCTGGGGGACAGAGGTACTGCCCTCTCAGTAATTGTGCTCCCCTGTCAAGGGAGTCCTTGAGAGGGAAAAGATAATGGAGCTGGTGTCCTGGGAAGGTGCAGAGGAGGGCTGCTGGGGTATGTTCCCCTGCCCTCTCCTGCCTGTGGCTGGATGGTTGCTGGAGCCCTCCTGGGCAGGGGGCCCAGCCACAAGCATGGCTCAGGAGTTGGAGGTGCCTGCTCTTCCCTTGCTTCCTGCAGTATCTAGTGAGAAGAAGAGCATAAAATGCACCCTGCTGTTGTGAGGGAGAAGCCCAGCTTGCTGTCTCCATCTCTTCCCTCCAGCAGTGGCAAGAGGACTTCAGATCAATGGAAATCAGGAAGGGACTTCCTCCTCTCCTGCTCCCATGGACTGACTCTCCTTGTAACAGGAAAGACAGATTGAAGGATTGGTTTGACCTTAGGGGCATGCTCTGGAGAGAGGATATGACCCCTGAGCCCTCCACATCCATCACCATTATAAGAGTTTACCAAGAACTCGCTCTCTTTCTGCTGTGAAAGGGAGAGGGGTTCTCTCCATGTGCCAGGGAAGAACTCACCTCGTGCAAGTCCTGCAGCAGGTACCACCATGGAAGAATCTTGGCAGGGAAGCTGGAGCTGAAGGGCTTCTTCTCAATCCTCTCTGGACCGACATGTCTTAGAGCAAACTGCTTTCCTGTGTGCTGGGGAAGTCATGGGTCTCTTGAGCCTCTATCTTTCACAGATTGTGGATGCATTTTTCTTTGAAAAAGATCTTTCTTTCTTTTTTCTTTGAAAAGCAAAACTTGGGTTCAAAACAAAGTTAGCCAAGACTGGAGCTGTCTTTTTGTACCAGAGTGACTTTGGTCCTGTCAGTCTTTGTTACTGCCGTGTAAATATCTCAGAGCTAATGGACTTGCTTCAGATATTTGGAGTGCTGTCAGCAAAAGCTTGGAAATAAGCCAGTAAACTCTTCCCTGGAATTTTGGGTAACTTTTGTTATGTAACACAAGATGCAAGGAACCACATTTCTGCAGGGATGGAGAACTGTAAAACTGACTTATACTAAAGCTGAATATAAGCCAGCTGAGGCTCTGGTCCTGAACATATAATCAGCAAGGAGTGTAACCCCTTAAAGGCTCTGTCATTAGGTAGAACTGTATTGACCTGCACTTGGACAGCCTCTTCCTTGCAGGGAGAACCCCTCTGTCTAGTTTTCTGTGGTTTATCATAGCCTCTTCCTGGCTTATTCTGCTGGCTGTCATGGTGACACACAATGTGAGAAAGGCAGATAAATAGTGTGAATGCCAAACAGGCAGTGAACTTCCTGAGTGACAGCTCTGGTGTCAGGGACATCGCAGGGTCTGCTCAGCAAACAAAACCTAAAGAAGAAGAACAGTCATTTAGCTACATTAATAACTTCCTCTGATCTTACAGATAGTTCTGGGGAAGGACAGAGTATCACAGAGGATTTGAGCTAATGCTGTTACTGTTGCTGCAGAGCCTCACAAAAGGTTCATCTGCAGATTTTATCTTACATTAGTAATGAAAAATGTTCTTTTTTTTTTTTAACACTGAATGGATTTTCTTCAGTGTAACAAGGTATTCCTGTGGCTAACATTTGAATAGTTCCTCTAAAGTTTAGTTATTTTTTTCTATTTAAGGAAAAGAAAAGCAAGCAATTCCTAAAAGTGTTAGTGTGAATGTCCCTTTTGAAGCACCAAGTGTAAGAATTACGGAAATGCTCTGAAACCTGCATGTTTTCTAAAGAAATATAGGGCATTCTGCTGCAATGAGAACTGCTGTGAGGAGGCTGGAGCTCCATCCCAGAGCTGACACAGGCTACTTGGGGATCTGAGCATGCAATGAAGGAAAGAGGGAGACCTTACCCCATTTAAATTGTATTTTCTCTTGCTGAGCACATCCAGTTTTCTAATGGTGTGTTTAACCCCTCTGGATCCGTAGATCTAGTATTGCACACATCTTTTCATCCTCTCACCTGTTTTCTTTCTTGCAGTAACCCTGTGAGAACAATTCTGTGTGGTTTTTAAATGTTAGAACTTCACCAGGCTTCCGACTATGTTCGGGAGAGCCTTTGGACAGATCCCATGGAGACCCAACACTGTAAAATACTTCACAATATGCTTGATAAATATGGGTATTAGAGATAATAAAGAATGGGGGGGATATGCCATGGTGCAGAGGTAGTTCTGCATGGGAGCGAAAGGGTTGTGTTTCTATGTCACTGGTCCTGAGAAAAGCCTGATGAGGGGCAGCTGACTGCAGTGTTTGAGCATGAAGGATTTATGCCCAGTGGTGTGGGTTAAGGTGCAGAGGACCCCTGGGAGGTTGGCTGGTACCAAGACCTGAGTTCCTGTGCTTGTCACTAACACCAACAGGAAGATGACTACTGCTGGGACAAATTCTGTGGAGTGCTTGCTGCAGGCAGGTCAGCCTGGCAGGAAGTCTGTCTTCTGGGAGATTAGATAACTGACTGACTCTCCACCCCTGCACTGTCTTCAGTGGGGTAGCACAGGCAGTGTTAAGTAGGCAGTGGCCAAATTCTTGAAGCTACCTGTTTTTCAGGTGGAGACTGAGGTCTAGTCCTTACATAAAGAGGACACCAGTCCTTATGAGTACAAGTGGAGGGGTAGGCACTATGTTCTCTGGTGAGCAGCAGCATGACCCAAGGGAATGGCACAAAGCTGTCATGGCAGTTAGATTGGATATTAGGGAAATGTTCTTCCCCAGAGGGTGCTGGGTCACTGAACAGGCACACCAGGGAATGTCACGGCCCCAGGGCTGCCAGAGCTCCAGAAGCGTTTGGCCAACGCTCTCAGGCACAGGGTGGGATTGTTGGGGTGTCTGTGCAGGGCCAGGAGCTGGTCTCAATGATCCTTGTGAGTCTATCCAGCTCAGGATTCTATGACTTCTTTCTTCCAACTATGATTCTGTGAACCATCTTGGCCCAGTAACTTTACCTTCCTTTGCTGCTTTTGTATCATTATAGAACTGAAGATGTTTATCTTGTATGCTTTGAGCGTCACATTTGAACAGTGATTAGAAAAAAAACAAATGCTTTGTCCAAGGGTGTTTAAGCTTTATGTTGAAGACAAAAGCCCCAGGTTGTTCAAACTGTTTGAATTCTATCACCTCCTATGCAGCATCTGCATGGCTGAGAGCTAGAGGCAATACAAAACATTGTGGGGCACATCTTCCCTATCTCGATGGTGTCTTTGGGCTGCTTTTTTCCCAAAGCTGTGCAGCCAGTGCTGAGAGGCAATCAAACCATACCAAGGCCAGATTAATTCATTCTGCTTCTCTGTGTGGAGAGTTTTCCCTCATTCTGGTCCCCTACTAGTTCTTTTCCCCCATGAGGAGAGCATACAGAACTGTGGCTGCGCGCAGGCAGCATGGGCACATGTAATGAAGCAGAGTCATTTCCTTTGATTATTCAAGACTGAACGGAGTGTATGTGTGTGTAAATATGAATGGGCTTTTTTCTTTTCACAGGCATAACGTGGGGCAAGGTGGTGTCTCTCTATGCCGTGGCAGCTGGGCTGGCGGTGGACTGCGTGCGGCACGCGCAGCCAGCCATGGTTCACACCATCGTTGACTGCCTGGGAGAGTTTGTCCGCAAGACCTTGGTGACATGGCTGAAAAGGAGAGGAGGCTGGGTAAGAAATGCTGTCTCACTGAATTTGTTTCTGCATGTCCAGACTAGAAAAGAGCCCAGTTGATGAGAGTGCGCTCTCTGCAGCTTTATGCAGAAAAAGGCTGTGGGAGATTCTCTTTCACAACGCTGTGGCCACCTCAATTCCACTTACACCTGCGCTAGTCTTATATAACTCTGTTACTGCCTCGTGGTCCTCAAAAACATCAGTTATTCTTGTCCTCAGCTCTCTGCATAGCTGAGACATAATAATTCAATCCTGAGCCACCAGCACCTGTTGTGTTCCTGATCTTCTCCAGAGCTAACAGCCAGTCACAGTGGGACACTATAGAGGTCATTCCTGTGAGGATCCTGCCATAGATTGCCCAGAAAAGCTGTGGTTGCCCCATCCCTGGAAGTGTTCCAGGCCAAGTTGGATGGGGCTTGGAGCAGGCTGAATTTAGAGGAAGGTGTCCCTGCACATGGTAAGGGGTGGGACTGGATGATCTTTAAGGTCTTTTCCAACCCAAACCATTCTTTGATTCTGTGATACTCTTGGCCAGCTGTTTTCTAGAAACAGGCAAAAAATAAGGTCTGCCAGCTTAATTCTCATTTCACCTCTAAGCACTGGATTTTCAGTGTGAGCATTGGTTCCTGTGGAGGATTGTTCATAAGGAGAACTTTATTTTGGTGCTGTGGCATAGCTAGACACCTTTCCAGTGGCCTTCCCAGCTGACTGGAGAGACTGGCTGGCTGTGTTAGTGGCTGGCAGATGGGTGATGTGTGTATGTACCAGGTTCCATGTGCCTGTCTAGCAGGGACACAGGCAGTCCTTGGATCCTCTAATGTGCTGCTGGGCAGATGCTACTTGGGCAAAATATTGCCCTATGGCACCACTCAGTTCATAGGACATCTTATTCCCAAGGCAGGCACTCTTTCCAGACTGAGCCACAGTAGCAAATTCCCTTTTCCAAGAGGTGAAATTTATTCCTAAACGATTAGGAAATAGTCAGGCTCCTCACCCATACAGATCTGGAGAGAGGGGGGTGTCTTTTTCCAAACTGAATATTGCTCCTTTATGCTGAGACTTCCCAACCACGTCAGTAGCTGGTTCAGTTCCCGGATTTCTTCAGGAATGTGAAGAACCGGGAAAGTATCACTGTTGAGATTTTGGATCCCTTGCACTTAATAAGTACCAATCCTACCTTAAATCATCCCTGCCCTCTCTAAAACTGGGTCACCTTGAGGCCAGCTGACTCAGGGAACTGGTTGGGCTAAAAGGAACCTTTTATTTGAATGCCCTGATCTGTTTCATTTTGCATTCCAAAAATTAATTGTGCCAAGGCAAGTGAAGAGGATATCCTGGGATTAAGTAACACTGTTCCTGCCTGTGAATGCCAGTCCCTGCCTCAGTATCATTTGAGGCTTACTTTAACTGCATACCTGTAGAGCTGCTTGAAATGTATACTCTGAAACATTTTCTAAGATCTAAATTCATTAAAGCAGAAATGTTGTGTAGGACTGTATCTCTTTCTAGTTTCCAACTATTTTTGTCTTTGTTTTGGTAGAACTTGCATGCTCTGATAAGTTAGCTTCTTGTTTTAATTTTTGTATTGCTTCATTAGAGTTCCAAACAGAGTGTTTGGTTAATTCCAAAAGGATATTTTTGGACAATTTTTTGCATAGCAAACAAGCTGCAAAACCCATCATCAGACCAGCACTGGTTCCGTGAGGAGCTAAGTCCACCACTGGCTCCTTCTGCCAGCCATCCCTTTTTAGATGGGCAGGACATTCCTACTGGAGTTGCTAAATCCATGCTGATTGCTCTTGGGATCTGGCCCTAAGGAAGGTAAACCAACTTCACTGCCCCCAGTCAAGCACAGGACTGAAGGCTGCTGGGTTCTGATACAGCCAACTTCCAACACCCTTATCAGCAGCTCTGGGCTGTGAAAAGGAAATACTTTCCCTCTAGAAACAAAGGAAAGTCTGGGAAAAGGCTGCTAATCCCATCTTGTGCTGTGCCTCCCTGAATGTTCTTCCTCTTGATCTAAGCACTTCAGCAAGGAATTTCCCAGCCTTGCTCACTCACGGGCCAGACCAAACAGCTCTTTGGTGGAACCCTCTCACCCACTGCCAGGCCTAGCTTGTGTTGGTTTGCCCTGGCATGCCATCCTTGTTCACATGGCCCTCATCTCTTACACATCAGCCTAGTCTGAGACTGCCAGGAGTAACCCCCATGCCCTGAGCTGGTCCAGGAAAGACACCATGGAGGCTATGGAAAGGCATTTGAAATTCTCCATTCAGCAGCAGGTTCCCATGCTACTTCCATAGGGTGGAGAAGACTGCAGAACCCAATGCAAACCTCACAGGAAGAGCAAGAAAGAACCTTGGAGACATAATTTCTTCCTGACAAGAATTTGCAGCCTCAGTAGTGGCTTTACAGTAGAATAAAAATATTTATTTTTTTTTTTAAGCAGCTTTTGCTACAAAACAGTGTATGTGACTTGAATTTGTTTGAATAATTAACATCGAACATCAAACTGCCATTGCAACAGTTTATCGGTGCCTGACAAGGCAAAAAGCCTTAAGTAGCTTTGAAGTTTTCAATTCCACTGCCTTATCAGATAGGCTTGATTTGGATAACAACAGCTAAGACAATTATTAAACAGGTGAGCAATTTTGCTTATCTAAGCAAGCCCCATACAAATTTCTAAGTACTTCTGAGTGCAGCTCCTCTTGGTTAGAGCAGTGAGGTCACTGCCTTTGGGAGAACATAGCAGGGCTTTAAGGAGTTCACCTTTTCTCACCTGGCAGTTAACCCTCTACAGCTGTAATCAACCTAGTGTGTATGGGCCTTGTTCTGGCTCACATGAGGCACTAAAGCCTATTAGAGCTTATGTTTCTCAAGGATAAGGTACCCTAACATGTGTGTTCAGACAGGTAACTGCATTCCATGACTCCTCTCAACTAAAGGGACAGTTTGACACAACTGTGTTTTAAACATGACCCCATGCAGGTTGCTAGAATCTGACAGGTTGAATCAGTTCAGACTATTTTCAAATACAAATAGGGTGAGTGTGCTAAGCATCACTGGAAGTATTCCAGTGTAAGGAGACCCACCTTGCTTTCCTCCACAATACAGATCAAGTACCTGTAGCCACTGGGACCACCTTGCAGCACCTTCTGGTAACTGTCTTGGCTCTGCTTGCTATGTTTGCTTGTGTTTTTTAGCTATAGGCAGCACTATTTCCACTCCTTGGTGCTGACTCTACTCTCTCCTGCTATCCTGTTTCTTCCCATCATTGCATGCTCTCTATTCCTTCCTTCTGCAGTCTCATCTTGTCAGTTATGCATGGGTTTTGCTTCTCCTGATGCTCCCAGGAGATCAGCAATGTGGTGAGGTGCACCGTGCCAGCCTTCTAGACATGGTAAACAAGGAACTGCTGGAACACATGGGAGGCTTATCCATGGGAGGCATGCCAGCTCTGCTGGCAGCAGAGCTTTGGTCTGTAGGTGATGGTAGGGTTGGTTTGTGTGGCTGTTCTCACTAACCAGACTCTGGGATTTGTCCCTTCAGCCCCATTTTCCTTCTAATGATGACCAAGGTTGGTCAGGCAAGGCTCATGCATGTCTTGAGCACAAGCAGAAGGAGTAGAGAAGATTATTGGAGCATTCATCATCTCTTATGTTCTGTTTTGGGGAGGAACACCTCAGGGTTGAGAGTCTCACTTGTCTGTGCTTGGTCAATGAGAGACTTATGTCAGAAAGTAAATTTGGAGGATTGCTGAGCTAAGCTTGTAAAAAAAAGACTTTTGGGACTGTGAACCCTTCCTTGTGATGTGATTATTGTTCCCATTTCCACCCAAAAGCTGATTCTGAAAACCACATGGGGTTGATGTGCCAGCAGTGCACCCTCTGTTATACAACCACAGTCCACATCTTGTGCTGGGCTTGAGTTCAACCAAAACTCAGTTATAGCAAAACTTTTAATTTTGATTCCTGCACCAGAAAATTCATTTTTCTCTCTATCTCTGTCCTGTTCACTTCACCTTCTCAATATTTTCCATTTTCTCCTTCCCATGCCAGCTGAGAGAGAGCCTATTTCTATCAATTTGACAGGGTGTTTTTTTTGTTTTTTGATTTTTTTTAATCATCACAGGCCAGCTTCTCTTGTTGATATTTGAAACCAGCTGCCCAAGCGATATTTAAATCTGGCCCACACATCTGGGAGGCATCTCTGCTGGCATATATATTTCCACAAACAAAGCTACAAGCATGCATTGCTTTAGATTGAAATTGGGGGATGGCTTGCTTGAATGTCTTCCAAGGAAAGCATTAAGGCAAGAGAAAATGTACAAGCAACCTGAGCTGATATTAAACAGGACAACCTCTGGGAAGCATCTGGCTTTACAGAAAAGGATGGGAATGCTGATAACTGCTAAGGCTTCCTAGACCTTTTAAACAAGGAAAGTTGTATTTAGCTATCCAAAATGGAAAGTGCTGGATAATCTTCCTGTAGCATTTCTTTCCCCAGGGGTGGCTGAAGAGGGGACACTTTGCCTCATTGGTGGGAAATTAAGAAAGTGTATTCTGCAGGGCTCTGGAGCCTGATTTAATAACTTTCAGAGTGTGGAAGTGTCAGAGCCAACATCTGGTGCTGCAGCAGCGGTGATGCTTATGGGGCTGGGACAGCCTGCAGAAGTGGCTGACATGGGCATCTCTCTCTGACGATCTCTCTTCCCTCCTCATTAGGCAGACATCACAAAATGTGTGGTGAATACTGATCCCAGCCTTCGCTCCCACTGGCTCGTGGCTGCTGTTTGCAGTTTTGGTCACTTCCTCAAGGCCATCTTCTTCGTCCTGCTGCCTGAGAGATGAATCTGAGTTGTCAAGCACAACTCCCTTGCCCCATCTTCTCTCCCACTCCAGAAGCAACCAGAAGTAACTGGAGAAGTAATTCCAGACTGGTAATGAAAATCTCTGAAGAGGAGGAAGAGAAGAACTGGGACAAAAAAATAAAAAGGCTGCTCTCCCATCAAGTGGGAGCAGATGATCAACCATGGTCTCCTATTTGCAGCCACACGAGCCTCTCTCACCATTAATCCTTCCAAGAATCTTGTTTCCCTGGGTAACTTGCATGTGTGGCCTAGATGTAGCTGGTCCCTGGACACGCTGATGGCAGCTGTGTGCAGTGTGGGACTGTCAGATGGCTGCTCCTTACGGCTGTGTTGCATGCTTATGCTAGCACCAGGCAGAGGGGAGGAGGAAGGGAATATTATTTGAAATGGGATTAGAAAGTAGGAGAGGGGAAGAGTCCCTCCTTCACTCCATGTGATTTCCCTTTCAGTCCTCAGACTTGCCTTGTGTTGATTCTTGTTGTTACATTTGTGTTTAAACTTCATCTCCTCCTTTATCCCTAACTCACTTGCTGGGCTCTGCCCCAGCAGAGCATGGTGGGTTTTTAACAAGATAAAACCAAATAATCTGTCAACAGTTGCTTCGCTCTGACATGTCTTGGAGATTGGGCTGAGTAGCTGTGAGGGGCAGGACAAGAGGGCAAAGTATGTTTTGTTGACCCCTCTCACTGCACTCACCCAGTCAAACAGGAGAGCAAGGGGCAATGCCTTCAAGCAACAACTTGAGATGGAATTTCATCATGAAAAAAACTGGTTTTGCCCCTGAGATTCTGTCAGAGCTAAGCATGTAAGTAGGAAAGGCTGGGGAGCACAGGCAGAAATAGAGAAACAGTAAGTGAACTGACTGGCATGGTAAAAGCAGTGAGCTGTGCTGAAAATAGCTGATGTATGTTTCTCCTCTAATCTCTTTCAAGTACAATTCCTAGTCTTCTTTGTGGCAAACAATAAAGGAAAATAAGTGGTATTTCACTACTGCAAAGGTTATTGTATTTGTTTCCAGACCAGAGTTAACAATTCCAAAAAAGGCCAGAACAGTGCAGAGACAAACACTCCAACCATGCTAAAAATACTTCAGCTTTTCCCCTGGTAGAGCATGTTAACATGTTAAAAGTACAACTTGCCTGGTTCATGCCTGGAATTTAACCCATGTTGTCGCCATGTCAGAAACATGCTGTTTCTACCAACAGATGCAGGGTTTCCCTGACATCATCAGGGAAAGGCTGTGGAGCTTCTGCTCTGCCAAAGCCTTCTGGAGACTCCCTGCTCAGTGCCCTGCTCCCTAAAGTGTGGCAGTAGGCACAGAAAAAAAAAAAAAAAACGAGGATTAAGAACATATGGGACTCTAAGGGTTTTGGGTTTTTTTTTTGTATTTTTTCCCTGATTTCCCTCCCGAACATTTAGAGGGGCTTTTACTCTCCCTCCAGGAGTTACAAAGGGGTCTGAGAATAAAGCAAAACCTTTACTTTTGGGTACTATCTGTGGGCCAAGTCTGTACTTACAGTTAGTGCTGTGCTCTGACCAGCAGAAACCATAGCAGAGGATGTGTAGGAGTTAGATCCTTGCACATTCCTGCTTTTTCTGCTCTAGCCTTTTGCACTTTGGCTGATGCCTTGGCATGTAGGGGCCGGGCCCAACTTTACCTCTAGTGCTACACCCCCAGTGAAGAGTGCTGTGCCAGTTTGGTCTAGGAGTACATTTTCAGTAGTAAAGCAATTCTTGAGGATTAAAGCCCTTCAAGTGCAACCTCTCCCATTCCCAGTCTTTCAGCAGAAACACTCACTGGGAAGGAGAGAGCCTCCCATTCCACATCAGAGCTGTGTGCTGCCTTGGACAGTGGCTGGGGAGGCTTTGTGCTGGGTTATACCGATGAGGTTGCCAGTGTAGATGCAGCTGATGGTGCCATGAAGTTGGGGCATTTTTATGTGAGTAAAGCTTGCATCAGTTCCCCAGATAAAACCAAATTGTCAGAGGAATGTTTATTTTTTTTTTAATTTCCTGACATATTGACATTAGGGGTTTTGCTGGCATCACTTACTGTTAGGGTTTTCTTCCTTAGATTCTTGGTAGATCTGGCTAGGGAAATTTAGAGCAGATACAGAACACAGGGGGAACTACACTAACCACCTTTGAGCAGCAGAGAGAGGATCCCTTCTAGTCTGCAACAGAGGCACTAAAAGCTTTATAATCCATAGCAGGGGGGGTACAGATTTGTTGTCCTAAAGGAGCTGGTGGAAAATAAGACTTTGGATTTCTGGAAATACCCAGGCTGTGTGCAGACTTTGACTTGGACAGTTTCACAGGTCATCAAGTCCAGCTTGCCTTGTATCTCATGGAGTGAATGGGAGTTACTGGAGCAGCAGAGTTTGACACTGGGACTGGCAAGACCTGTGTCAATTTAGATGCTGTTTTGAAATGTAATACTTAAGGCTATGGTTGTTGGGGTTTTTTTCAGTAAACAAGTGATATCAGAGGATCTATTAAGGAACATGAAGAGTTAAATGCACCAATTAAGTGGATTTAACAAGAAGATAATGACAAGCCAAATAAAGCAGCATTGCTGGAAAGGAATGTGTGTGGGTGGAAAGGGGGTTACAAGAGGCAGACAAAGGCTCAGCCTGGAAACTGCTGATAATGAAGAGATGGTGGAGCGCCCCTCGAATAGGTTTCAGACTTCTCTGGCTTCTGTCTGTCTTCTTGCATTTAGTAGTCTCTGCAAAATCAATACCAGAGCTGAAGTGTGCTGCTCACCTTGCACTTGGTGTTAAAGGAGGGTACTTCAACCCTGCTCACTTCTGTAATAATCACATCACCACCAGCCTCATCACCAAAATAAACAACAAAGCAAAAAGAATTGCACACACTCAGGTGCATTTAAGAACTGACAGTATTGAGCATGATACAGACAAGTGTTTATGTCGTGTTCAGTCCTATCTGTAATATTCAGTCATTTTGGAGTACTTCCAGGGGTCCTTTACAATCTCAGCTATTCTGGGGCTCTGTGATTTTTCTATTCCCTCTTCTCTTTTCACCAGTCCTACCGGATGGGAGACATCAGGGTTCGTTGTTTATCACCCTAATAAACATTTTCCTTTTAAATGATTGCTGAAGGTCCTAGGAGTAGATCTAATTCATTTAGTTGTTAAAGAAAACCAAGAGAAAAACAAGTACCAAAGTTAGTACTATTGTGCTTCTCCATACCAAAAGCCTGTCTGTTGTTCCTCTTCTAGCATCAAAAACTGAAACCCCCCAAACTATCCACCTCATTCTTTTCCCCCAGTGTTCCCAGCTATCTGCTTGAGAAATCTGCTTGTAGTAAAAGCTGCCTTCATTTTTTTTAAGCTGTTTTCCACACACTGAATGTTCTAAGTGAGACTTACTTACAATCTGTCTTGGGGGGGCTGCTCCCTGTCCATAGCGACCTTTCAATCCACTGCCCGGTTTCATCCCCTTCTGCTGAAGGTCAACAGTCATGATGGCAGGGGACAAACTTCCTCTCAGCACAGAGAGACTACTGCTCACCCTGTTAGGCACTCACAGAATCCAGCCAAGCTTTAGCTGTCTCCTGCCTTTCTGTCCCACCAGAAAAACTGGAGGTTCAGGGAAAAGGTGAGGAAAGGTTAGGTGGTGGCATGGGAGGTGCTTTGGGAGAAGCAGGAGGAGGAAGAAAGGGTTGGATGGAGGTGGGAAAATGGCATCTTAAGGATTTTTGCAGCTGTGGAATGTTTTGCAGAGGAGAGTTTTGCCTGTGGTTACATCAGAGCCTGGAGGAACCTGAGCCTCATTTTGCCTTTGTTCACTTGCTCCACTAAGGATTATCCCACCATCCTCCCCCTCCAACACCAATCTCATTCTGTGTTTCTTTGTAGTGACCCTACATTCAGTCAACAGAAATATCTTTATCACAAAGGAGGGAAGCAGAAAAGCCCACTTGGCTTGGGAGTTTCAGTGATAAGCCTTTGAGAAATGCTTATCATTTCCTAGACATGGCCTTTGCCCAGCCACAGCCTGACTTGTGCCTCTCCCATATCAGACACCCACAGCAGGTTCACCTTCTTCAAAGCAACTACAGAAAGTGATCTCAGTCTCAAAGCCAATGTCACCTTTGTTTCTGCACTGCTTTTTCTCCTGCAAATGGAAAGAAAACAGTCTGTGAAGCCCATAATTTATCAAACTTGCATCTGTATTATAGACCAAAATACAGAACAATAGTGATAGGGAGTGAGATTTGAGGTTTCCCAAGAAATTGCTACACCAAACTTCCTCATTTTCAGACTAATTTCATAGACCCTGAGAAAAAGCTCTATTTTTTTTTTTTAATTCTCCTTTTAATGTGCAAAATCTGCAAGTGGGAGTTTTTTTGTGCACAGTTAAATTGAATATGAAGCAGGTTGCAAGTCCCTTAGATGGGTTTCTGAAAAGATCAGACCCTGAAGGCATTCCAAGAGCTTTGCCATGAGCCTTCTTGATCAGGCTCTCATCAATATTTGTCCCCTTGAATTTCTTCACTGTCTTTTTTAAATTTTTTTCAGGCCTGCTATTTATAGTTTTCTAGGCATAAATTTGCCATAGATTAATTATTCTCTTATGGCAATGGGAAAACAATGCATGCTAGTAGATTAATGACAAGAAAACAGCAATTTAATGTACTGCTGGCTGAGTCTACAGATTTCTTCTATGCAAAGATTTGACAGCTGGAGTTTAAATACTCCCTCAGAAAAGCCTGTAACCTCTTTAACTCTAAATATTTTGACCCACTGGGATTATGAGCCCCCAGCACAGCTAAACAGAGCAATCCTCAGTTGAACTTTACACTGTCACCAGGACCTGGAAAGGCATTGCATGTTCAAGCAGAGTCTGTGGGAAATGGAGTGCCCTGGGTCAATCACATCACATGCAGACCATGTCCAGGCAAGGTCAGATGAAAAAAAGGCTTTGCCTCTCACAGAAGGAAGAAAATAAGGAGTTGTGTAGGGAATTTCCAGCTTCCTTGCAAGCATATTTATTTCAGAGCTTTAACTGAGGAGAAATGTCCTCTCTTAGACCAGCAGACAGGATTGGAGTCTTCTCCATCACGACAGGAAGACTTGCTTGTCCTTCCCTACTGGTGTCAAATACAATCCCCTGTTGTTCCAAATTTCTACTTCTGTCCCTATCTTGTGACCTTCTCTCTTGCTTTTGTTGAGCTCTGTGTTTAAGCAAGATAAACTTTTATTCCACATTCCCTGCTGGAGTGTGACTCGCACTGGGCTTGCTCTTGAGTCCCTTTCAGGCACCTCAAGGGCAACTGGTTTGGACTTTGGAGGACTATGGGCAGCACCAAGGACCTTCAGCATCACTACTCTAATGGGAACTGAGAGGATGGGCTGCTTTGTAGGACCAGCCCTCACATTGTCTCACCCAGCTCTCATTAGACAGGAGCTGGAGATCCTGCACTGGTCCTTGCATTCACCCGGCTCTGTGACACTGTCCAAGGAACATAAAACCACCTGAAAGTTGATCTTGAAGCCCTCTCAACATGGTGGTGTTGACATTTTACTCCTGTTGTGGAGGTGCGAGTTGGGAGCTGTGCAATGGTGACTGGGTACAGCTTGTACCTGTTTCCCACCAGAGCTGAGCCAGGATTTTCTGGTAATCTAAGAAGGAGATTTAAAAAAAAACCAAAATAGTCTTTTATTTTGATCTCCTTGTCACTTCAAAAGAACAATTCAATCACCGCTAAGCTGCTAGAACATACTTTGTTCTCAATTCCTCAGCCAGAAGTGGCCAGACTGCCCTTTTTAAGCCTGGCAAGTTTCTGCCAGCTAACTCCCTTGCCTTATGCTGTCAGCTTTCCCTCTCAGCTTGCTGGCATTGGACCTGGGTAAAGGTGTCTGATCCCCAGGGCCACCTGACCCAGTAGGTTTTTTTCTCCCCCAGACAAAGCAACCCTGTCCAAACCATCTGGGGGCTGCAGCAGGGCTGGGT